CTTGGGAAGGGCTTGCAGGTCTGCAATTCTAACAAGTCCCCAGGGGATGCCTAAGCTGCAGCTCCAGGTGACATACTTTAAATAACGAAAATGTAGAAAATATCCATTTACCCTCACTGTTAACAATCTGGTAAATGTTAGTTTCCTAGCAAGGTGTGTTTTGAAGAAGTACTGTGATAAACTAGCTGGGTTTGGGTGGAGGGGACTTACCAGAATGTATCTTGACATCATGATAAATGATCTTAAATTCTTTGACTTCAGGGCCTTTTGTATGTTTATCAGGAGAAAGAAGGGTTTGTGGAAGAGCAGAATGGCTCTGCAGAGGAGGAGAATGGAGCCAGGGGAAAGAGAACGAAGAAGTCAGATTGGAGAAACAGCCATGTGATATTTAGAGTCACTTGCTTGATAATATACTCATGTCCTTTCATCCCTTCCCAGGAGTCCCTGGGCTTTGCTCACCAATGCTTTGGTACCTATAATTCCTTTCTTTGTTCTCTGCAGGGGGTGTGGGATTGAAGAGGCAGAAGGGGACAGATCACAGCAGCACCACACTGCCTTGAAGGCCTCTGCTAGCTTCTCTTCAGCAGCTGCTGAGTGGTGGGTAGGCAAGAGGCGTGGGTGGGACTCCGTTTTCTATTGTTGAGCAATATGACTCTGCTGCTACCCAAATCAGCAATTAAAGCAAAGAGCAATAATGGGTTGGCATCACCACAGGGAAAGACAAAGACAGCGGAGACAAGAAGATGCTTGGAGAAGGTAAGGAGTGGCTGGAGCATCCCCCAGAAGAGAGGGAGTTATGAGCAAATCCATCATGAGGTCAAACTTGAATTTGCAATAGTTCCTAACCTCACAAAACCATAACACATGGGATTGACACTAGCTTTACGACAGTTTTAACCTGGGATCCATGAAAGTGCTTTTAGGGGTAGTGTACTGGTTTGGTTTTGTTACCGTGAAACAAACTAGAGTTGCTTGGGAAGAGGCAGCCTCAACCCAGGACCTGCCACCATTAGACTAACCTCTGAGCATGTCTGTGGGGAACTTTCTTGATTGCTGATAGATGCAGGAGGGTCCAGCTATCTGTGGGCAGGTTGTCCAGAGCTGGATAAGAAAAGCAGCTGAGTAAACCATGGAAAGCGATCCAGTAAGCTACAATCCTCCTCAGTCCCCAGTTTGATTCCTGACTCTGGGATCCCATCTGAGTTCCTGAGAGTTGTAAGATGAAATAAACCTCCTTATCCATGTCCTGGTTAAGTTTGTGCCTTGACACAGCTAGAGTTCTCTGAGAAGAACATCAATTGAGAAAATGCCTCCATTAGATTAGTCTGTGCAAGCCTATGGGGCATTTTTTTTTTAAACAAATGATTGGATGTGAGGGGCAGGCACAGCCTGTATGTGGTGACAATTCTGGGCAGATGATCCTGGTAGTATAAAGCAGGCTGAGCAAACCATAGGTAGCAAACCAGTAACCAGTATTTCTCCATGGCTTCTGATTCATTTCCTACCCTGGGCTGTAAGCTGTAAGATGAAATAAACC